CCCAGAGGTATCATGACCCACAGGTTGAGAACCACTGGCCTAGACCATAGGAGGTGCTCAATACTGTCATTCTTATGTTTATTATTTAAATTGATTTTCAGAGACAAAGGAAGAGAGAGAGAGAGCAACATCAATTGAGAGAGACATATGTATATTGGTTGGGTTATACTTGCAGCTGATTAGGCCGGGGATTGAACTTGCAACTTAGGTACATGCCCTTGAGCTAGAAGAAAACCCTCAACCTTTCCATGGGTGGGTCAACACTAACCACTAAGAGACATCGACCACTTCTATGTCATCTTGAGTAGGAATGATATTTACTAGTTGATGACCCTCGTTTCTGAATTGAATCACTAACAATAAGAAACGCACATTGAGAATGAGTAACATTCATTATTTTGCTGGCCAGAATTAGTATTGGTGTTCCTTGTTAAAGTGAGTCTTTTGTGAGTTGACTGGTGTGATTCCCATTCCTTGTTCCCAATTACATCTGGGAGAACTGAAACAGTAATCCTGTGGCTGGTTTGGCAGAGCTGAAAGTTGGCCAGAGGACAGAAGATCCTCTGTTTATCCCCCAGCCTGGGCAACAGCTTGTGCTCTCTCCTTAGCCCTACTGTGCCCTGCATCCTCCCCTTTGCTATCAGTTTTGTTACATAGAATTTAGCTAAATTACCATTTTCTTATTCCAAGGTCAGCCATTATTTCTATTCAAGGCCTTCACCTGGTTAGATGAGATGAGCTGGACTCAAATTAGGGAGAACAATAGCTTTTCCCAGTTCATCTACTTAACTGTCCATCTCAGACAAAAACACCCTCACACACACATTCAGAAAGTTTGGCCAAATGTCTGGGCACCTCATGGTCCAATGCAATTGAAACATGAAATTAATCATCACAAGGATCTAAGATAAAATACCGTAGAGCCCAGTGCATTTCTAAACCTGAATCTCTATAACCCCAGGTGCTCTATTGAATTATGTTACATCATTTCCACCTACATAAAGCCACAAACGAACATTCTCTGCAACACCGCGAGAGTGATTTAAAGGATTGTTTATTTATTCCTTTATCTCTTTCTTTTGTTTAAAAAATGTATTGGGGTGACATTGCTTCATAGAATCATATAGGTTTCAGGTATGGATCTGTTACAAGATCTGTATATTGTACGGAATGCACACCAACCAAAGGCAAGTCCTCTTTTGTCACTATATATTAGTCCCCCTTCTCTCCCCACCGCCCAAACCCTTCCCTATGACAACCCCCACACTACAGTTTGTGTGCAAGAGTTTACTGTGACATCCCACAGATGTGATCACGTGGTGCTCAGCTTTTCCCGCCTCTATTATTTCACGCAGCACAATATTCTCAGGACCCATCCACGTTGTCCCAAATGGCAGTATTTCACCTTTTCTTATTACAATTCCACTGTGTCTTGTACCTCGTCTTCTTTAGCCAGTTCCCTATTGACGGACACCTTAGTCGTCTCCAGGTGTTGGCCCCAGTGAATAATGTAGCAATGAACAGAAGGGTGCATATACCTTTGTTTGTACAAGTTTTCAATTTTTCGGGTATACATGCAAAAGAGGGATGGCTGGGTCATATGGCAGGTAGCTCTATTCTTAATGTTTGGGGAAATCGCCAGACTGTTTTCCATCGTGGCTACAGCAGTCTATATTCCCACCAACAATGAATGAGGGTTCCCCCTTTTCCACAGCCTCTCCAACACTTATCCCTGGTCTTGTGGATCATAGCCATTCTAAAAGGTGAGAGGTGGTGTCTCATTGTACTTGTGATTTGCATTTCCGTAACTGCTGGTGGCGTTGACCATCTTTTCATATGTCTGTTGGATGTTTGTCTGCCTTCTTGGGAGAAGTATCTATTCAGGTTCTCTGCCCATGTTCTAATTGTGTTGTTTGTTAGTGTTGAGTTTATGAGTTCTTTATATAGTTTGGGTATTAAACCTTTGTGGGAGCTATTGTTTGCAAATATTCTCTCCCATTGACTGGTTGCCTCTTTTTTTTTGTTGTCAGTCTCTTGCTGTGCAAAATCAGGTTGGTTTGATATAGTCCCATTCATTTATTTTTGCCTTTCCTTGTCCATACTATCTAAAGCAATCTACAAATTCAATGCAATCCCTATTTTATTACCAACAGAATCAGAAGAAATACTCCAAACATTTCTATGGAACAAAAGAAGACCTGAAATAACCAGAGCAATCTTGAGAAAGAAGAACAAACTTGGAGGAATCTCAATACCAGATTTCAGGTTATACTGCAAAGCCACTGTAATCTCTACGGCCTGGTACTGGCACCAGAACAGGCATATAGATCACTGGAACACAACAGAGAGCCCAGAAGTAGGCCCAGGCGATTACCCACAGTTAATATTTGACAAAGGAGGCAAGAGCACACAAAGGAGGAAGACAGGCTCTTCAATGCCTGGCGCTGGGAAATCGGACAGCACTGAGTTCCACCGAGATCAGGGCCTGGCACGTGAACCAAAGGAATCCCAGAGCCCACTCTGCAGAGAACCGGCTCTGAGGAAAGGTTCCTGACAAAGCACTGCTGTTCTGTGACGGCTAACCAGGAGCTAAATACTCCCTTCTCTCAGCCTCAGAGGCAGACCACCTCTGGGTGTTATCTGAGGCACAGGAAAATATAGACAAGACAGAGACAGAGGGTGGTACCAATAAGAAAGAGGACATACATAGGCTTTCAACCCCAGAAGATCACAATTCTAATTCAAAAGCTCCTTCCTGGGTTAGTAGAAGGGCAGAGTACTTCTCTCAAGCACAGAGTAAAAGAAGGTCTCACATATGAGTCATCAAGGTATACAAAGCTTCCAGGCAATATCAAAAAATGAATTATGCCAGGACATAATGAGGAACTAAGTACCAACATTTCAGAGACACAATATGACCTTCCACTTGCAAGTCCCTGAGAGGCTTAGGAAGGGAAAGGGTGCAGCAGGGGGCAAATATAATGTCAGCAAGTTCCATTCAGTCTACAGAATTCTAACCAAAGAAAAGGAAAAGATCTGTCCTGCTAACTGTCCTCTCCAGCCTGCACAGAACACCGATTTTTAATTTTAATGATTCATTCAAGGTGAGGTTCTGTGAAGACTTTTCAGCAAAGTGAAATTAAGGAAAAATGATTCATCATTGCACATAGTTATAAGAAACTCTCCAACATGGCAATACTCCCAACTGAAAAGAAGTAATCCCTTTTATATAAAAAAAAATCCTAAATGAAACACTTGTTTTTATTTCAGAGAGGAAGGTAGAGGGAGGGAGAGAGATACAAACATCAATCATGAGAGAGAATCATTGATTGGCTGCCTCCTGCAAGCCTCACCCAGGGATCTAGCCACAACCAGGCCCTGTGCCCAGACCAGGAAGGAAACCAGGACTTCCTGCTTCAGAGGCTGATGCTCAGTGCTGAGGCAGGCAGGGCAGGCTGAACACAAGTCATCCTGAAAATATTAAGTGTTTCCTTCCATTCCAGCCAAGACAGTAAAATTACATTAAATCCTTGTTTAGGTACAAATAAAATACAGTTAAAATAAAGTGGACATTTCATACATACAGTTTTTATAGCTGGAAAGTTACAAATTAAAACATTTAAAATTTTCAGTTAATATTTAGTTAATATTCAATATATAAGTATTTTAAAAATTATAATAGAAGGATGTCTTAAGAGTAAAATATTTTAAATTTTAAGTGGATTTTTAAATCAATATTTAAATATTTTAAAGTTTAAGAGAATATATTAATAGTTTCTACATTTAAAATATCTGTAAAAATTTACAGCGATATTTATTTAATATTAAACTTTTCAACTATTTTAAAAGTTTAATAAAGTGATGCTTAAATACAAAATATTTTTAAATATTGGACTTCATATTTCTATATAATATTAAGATATTTGAATATTTTGAGTAGCTTCAGGAAGAGACGTCTTAATGCTCGAATTTTCCTGTTTGTTTGTAACTTTCCTGGGTGGTTCTCTAAGGTTGTAAAGTGGAAACATCACATGGAATGTCCCAGCGCCCTCCTAACCACGCTTCCTGCTCCCAATCAGGGCACATCTCCAGCACAAAGAGCCCCGATTCCACACAAACCCCCCTCCCCCCCCCCCACATTCTCTTCTCCCCCTCTGTCCCCACAGCAAAGTGCCTCGCTGGAGCTTTGACCAAAAGGAGAGCCCGGGCTCAGGGGGGCGCAGCCCGGGCCAGGCTCTGGGGGCTCCTCTGGGCGAGGCTGCAGGTGGCTCAGGCTGAGCTCCATTCCAGCAGCAGCGGCCCCGCTGGAGGCTCTGCTTCCCCTGGGCGCTGCTCACAGGGCTCTGTGAGTGGCCAGCGCCTCTGCCCCACACACACTGACTGAGCTCCCCAAACTCAGGGGCAGACAGGCCCCCCGCGGGCCCCCTGGCTGCCAGCTAAGGGCACCCAGCTTCCTAGGGACCCCAAGGGAAGGTGCTACTCATGGGGTCCCCAATGACCCTGGCGGTATCTGTTCCAAAACCAAGCCATCCCCCCCAAAGCAGCCTGCAACCAAATGCTCTAATGTCCAAGCTCCCTTTTCCGAAACGCAGCTCTTCCCAAAACACAGCCTGTGCTAAAAAAACAGCCTTTTCGCCGAAAAGTAGTCTGAATCGAAACTCACCCATTTAAAGTCCCGTTTTCCAATTCCCAGTCCGGCACACAACACAGCCTGTGTCCAAAAGGAGCCTTTCCCCCAAAAGGAGCCTTCACCAAAACGCACCCGTCTTCAAGCACACCTTAGCAAAACGCAGGATGGAAGGCTGCTCCCTGAGTATTAAAGCAGCAGAGAGTCCCTGCATAGGAACTTCCTTGGCTGAGACCAGACTGACAGCAGAGCAAGGCTCCCAAGAAGGCTTTTTAGAAACGCCCCCTTGCGGCCGGCTAGAGAATCGCGCTTCCAGGGAACCCAAGAAGATCACTTGCTGCTCCTGGGACTGACACTCCCCCTGCCAATCCCAATGGCCCAGATCTCTGTGTGGCTGATGGCAGGGGCCATGCTCTGCTCCAGCCCTGCTGGCGCTCTGGAAGGGGATGCACTTTGGATGCAGAGAACAGATAACCTGAGAGTCTTCAATATTTTGAGGCAACTGCAAAGGACCCCCCCTCACTTATGCCTGGGTGACAGAAACAACTTCACATTTCCCTGGAACAGGGGGACCATCCCCCAAATGCACAAGACACAAAGGACCTGTCTGCACTATCAGATGCTCCTGCAGATGTTCACCCTCTTCAGCGCACAGTGCAGCCTTGCTGCATGGGACCACACCCTCCTCTCCCAGCTCCTCTCCAGCCTCCATCACAGCCTGGAGCACCTGGAGCAGCTGGAGCACCTGGAGCATTTGGAGGAGAGGGAAGGAGAAGATCGGGCTTGTCCCAAGGTTAGAATTCTCCTGCGGAAGTATTTCCAAAGAATCTATAACTACCTGAGAGGGAAGAACTACAGCGCCTGTGCCTGGGAAGTGGTTAGAGTGGAAATGACACTTCGCATTGCAATCATGTACCGATCCTCAAAGGAAAGTCAACCCACTCAGAATTAGGTTCTATGGTGACTTTCTCTCTTCAACTGGATCCTTTGCTGAGCACTAAAATAATCTCTATGCACATCCCTGCACCAGCTGAGAAATACCTGACTCCAAAATAACTCCAAGGAGTTATTATAAAAATATCTTGTACATCATGACTTTACAAAATTATGTTTAGAGAGAGGTACATGAGCTGCTTTTTAAAATAAATAATTTTGTCACACATATTTTTTTACGGTTCAATTTTTTGGGATTGTGTTGATGGAGGGTGGAGGGACTACTGGCTATTTCCAACTATAAATTGCAATCTTATTTTAATGAAAAGATTCTCCAGGATAATGTTTGGCTAAAGACATTTGCCAGTTAAGTACACGGTGGCCCTCGTAACTGATCAACAGAACCCTATCCGGACATTGGTTGGTCATTAGAGAACTTTAGGGTGCTTCTGTAGAAGAGCACAATGCAAGCATTTCTGATCAGAAGACTCTTATGTCTGGCTATTGTGAAAACCATGATTGTAGGTCATGGCACCTTCTGTTTGGAAACTTTGCCATACTGAACACGTGTTGCCAAATTTCTCTGGGAAATGGATTCTATTCTACCTAGTTGTAGAGAAAAAAATTAGGGAAGATCACCTGGGATGTTTCCAAGGCCAGGACTGTCCTGGGCAATATCACTGATGCTCCCAGCAGTGAGGCTGAACGTATCTCAGGTGACGCGCTAAGTGCAAAGAGATGAGAAGCAGACTCTGATCTGGTGATCATGGAACAGGACACAGAGCACACCTAGGAGCAGGAAGGAGATGGAAGTCAGCAGGGGCTTGAGAACTGGGCAGAACAGAGGCAGGTCAAGCCTGGACTGGAGTAAGAAGGCCCTCAAGAAGGGAACATGGTGAAGGGCCTGCGCTGAGTCACCTGTTTCTGCAGATCATTCTGGTTCCCAGGGGGAGAAGATGGAAGTGGATGCTGAGAGCAGAGCTCTCCCACAGAGACGGGGCCAACAGCAGTGTCCGCAGCACAGGGGACTCTGACCCCACAGCAGCCTGCTGGGGATTGGAGGGACTGTGGTTACTTCAGAGGCAGGAACACACTTGTTTCAACTGTCAGAAAATTCTACTCTCTAAAGCTATGTAAAAGGAATATTGTGTACCTTTCCTTAGAACTTAAAGTCAGTCAGTTCTGTGTACTCAGACCACAGTGGTGATGTCACACAGAACCAAAGACAACAATCTACTGGCATTTATTTCTTTTCTTTTTATTTATTTATTTGTTTGTTTGTTTGTTTGTTTATTTTCAGTAGGGAAAGCTGGGACTGGGTGGGGCCACTGTCCTCTGTTGGAGAGACAGGGACCCAGAGCCAATACAGCGTGTTTATTTTATTCAGCAAAAACCAGAAAGTCTTACTAAAAGTCAAGACAAAGGAGATTATGTGCATTCTTGGGTTGGCCCGAGACATATTCATTCATGGTGCTTGGCTGGATTTAGATAACGAAACCCACCTCCTGGTACCTGTGCTGAAGGTCAAGCTGACAACACTCCAGCCTCTGGCAAGGCATGTTTCCAGGGCTTGGCTCTGCCACGGCCACTGGATTCAGCTGACAATAATTAAAGAAATGTTCACGTGCCTTCCCAGGTGCTCTCTACAAACCTACAACCTTTTGGTGTACACCAGTGTTTCCCAAACTTCTCTCATGATGAGAATCACCTGGTGGAGGTGTTAAAATACAGATTCCTGAAGCCCATCTAAGCTTAGAGCACTAGTTTTACAATGTTACCTATATGTTCCCAAAAATTCTAGTTTAGCACTTCTTAGTTGGGATTCAGGAATCTGTATTTTAACAAATCCACCCCGTGATTCTCATCATGAGAGAATTTTGGGAAACATTGGTGTACATGATGATGCCCCAATCAACAGAGCCACTGTTACACCCAGACTTCGTGATGCCCAAGGACCACCAGGGAGCCAAGTCTGATGCAATAAACAAAAGAGCCTCTTCCATACTAGCATGGGCTCTGTCCCACTCATGCCGACAGCATGGCGGAAGAGTGGAACTTGGAATCCCTTGTCACTCCACCTTCCCTGCTCAGTGCTATCTTGTCGTGGCCCCTCCTTGGTTCATTAATCCCACGCCCAATTCTATCCTTGTCTTTGAATGGGCTCTTCCAGACCAGCAGTATCTTAAACTTCTTAAGGGTTTGACTTTGGATTCTTGGTACCTTCCAAATAATTAATCGCTCTAGATTTATACTGCATAATAGTGGTATAAACAAATTTAATACAAATAGGATTACGGGGAAGGTTGAATTCACCATTATAAAGATTTTAGAACAATGGTTGGACCATAGTTAGCATGCAATAAAATTTTGTTATCATTTACTGTAAAATATCAATGTAATTATTATTTAGATTAAGAGCACACTGTTAGGATCATCCAATTCCATTTCTCTCAAACCACATTACCCAAGGCAATTTATTAACCAGATCGAGCAGGTACATCAGGTTAATATCCACTAGGCAGCAGGGCGGGTCCTGCTCCAGCAGGGGGTGGCATGGTCGCCAGTCTTCTGAGAGTTGCTTGCTGTGAGCCTTCCATTCAGTCCTCAGAGCTGATCCCATGAGCATTAAATGACAGGAAAGTGATGTGGCTGGTCACTGGCTCAGGAGGTCCTGTTCTTGGAGCCTCTGGCAGTCAGCCCATCCCTGAGCTGGTGTACCTCAGGGCTGGCTCCATCCTCCCTCTGCCTCAGCACCAGGAACCCCGTGTGGCTGCAGTCAATTCTGCCAACTTACACTTTGTCCTCTTGTCATCAGAAGTCACTTCCCTTCTTTCTCTTCTATGACTCGCAGAATTCTAACTGTTTCATTTTTGCCCACAAACAACTGTCGATTTTGCTTTCTAGGAAAGTTGAAATGAGAAATAAAAAGTCTGACATCATGATAATTATAGAGGAAAATGGTGAAGTCTCTTTGACTTTCCTTACTTCCCTTTATATGAACCTCAGGATGAGGTAAAAAATCATGTCAGAGGAGCAACACAGACTATGCCCAGGAAACCACTCTGTAATGACTATGTGGTTTTTTACATGTAAAATGAAGCACCATGCATAATTAAGGATTGAAGGCTGTTTCTCCCTTACTTAGCAGCCTGAGCCTCACTGCCCTGCATCCTGTGGGAGGAACAGAGAAGCCCCATCGAAATGAACAGACTGAATGAGCAGCTGAAGTTCACCAGCTTCTGTTCTACAAGTTTCTACTGAGAGGTGTCATTGCATCATCTGTGCCCAGTTCAGAAATTCTGAGCTTAACCTGTTCAATAATTTAAAAAAAGAGAATTCTATAGTAAAAGCTGCACTTTCCAAATAAAAATATTAGCCTACTGAGGATCAAAGATTACTAATGGAAAACTAATGACTCCACGACTTAGAGAAAATAAACATCTGCTGTCAGCGCTTAGGGCAATGGGCACCACTGAGACCAGGTTAAGGAGGGGAGCAGGTCACCACTGAGAACAAGGGTCCTTCACACACACAACCTCCCGGGGGAAGCAGCAGGATGCTGACCGATCCTTTGAAACAAAACAACAAGCCCCTTTGCCTGTGGCGGATTCTAAGGACCTCAGGATGGGGTGAGCCTGCCCTCAGGGGGAGTCCAGGAGAGTTTTAGGTGAGGACACTGTCATTCAAGAGGCAAAGGGTTACTAGAGCTGATCTCGGTGTCTGGAATGAGGTGGTGCTGGGAAAATATTACTATCTTGTGATGAGAATCTCCACACCTATAGCCACCAGCAAGGAACCGAATTCCTGCTGGGGATACTGGCACAGCCTGAGGAGCACTAACAACCAGTTACAAACTCTGGAAAGGAAATGGCCATGTCTATAGAAGTCCCGACCCAGTGGCCCCCATGAAGCATAACCACTTGGCCCTGCAGGAATGGGTTCTAGAAGAGAGACATCCCCGAAGGGCAGTCAGTAAAAACCTCAGCCTCTGCAGGGAGCACAACAGTAAATAAAACTGAGTCCTTGGATCTAAAGAGCTTATGTCCTATGTGTGGTCCAGCAAGGACCTGACAAAACACACAAGTCCACACAGATGAGGGAGCCTGACACCTGTGCAAAGAAAGGAGGGGAACATGGTGCCCAGACTGACACATCTAACTGACACATCACCGGTTTGGCTCAGTGGATAGAGCATCAGCCTGCGGACTGAAAGGTCCCAGGTTTGATTTCAATCAAGAGCATGTACCAAGGTAGCAGGCATATCCCCAGTGGCAGGTGTGCAGGAGGCAGTTCATGGATGTTTCTCTCTCACCGATGTTTCTAACACTCTGTCCTTCTCCCTTCCTCTCTGTAAAAAGATCAATAAAATACATTTAAAAAAATAAAATTGGGGGGGAATTTAAAATAGAAAATAATATTTCAGAATGACGACATCTTCTTAGTCCACATAGAGGAAAACAAAAAAGGAAGTGAAAGGGGAAAGAAATGTTTAGACAATGAAAATTGTGGAGTTCCCTATTTAAGGGCCCTGCCTAGAAAGAAGGTCACTGGAGAACTGTTGGCCCAAGGTTGTTCACCAGACGCCCAGCTCAGCCAGGCCAGCAGCACCCTCCTCTGCCCATGGCCCTCCTGCTTTCTCTGCTCACGACCCTGGTGCTGCTCAGCTCAGGCCTTGGTGGAACTCTGGGCTGTGACCCACCTCAGGACCACGTCCTGCTCAGCAGGGAGAACTTAGTGCTTCTGAGCCAAATGAGCACCATCTCCCCTCTCTTCTGCCTGAAGGACAGACAGCACTTCCGATTCCCCCGGGCAGCGGTGGATGGCAGCCAGGCCCAGAAGGCCCAGGCCCTCTCTGTGCTCCACCAGATGCTCCAGCAGATCTCCGACCTCCTGTCCACAGAGAGCTCCTCTGTCCCCTGGAACACGACCCTCGTGGACCAGCTGCGCACAGGACTCCATCGGCAGCTGGAAGCCCTGGACACCTGTTGGGTGCGGGAGATGGGAGAGGAGGGACCTGCC